TGTGCCCCAAAAGAAGGTCTTGAACTAAGGCACAAAAATGCATTACTGGTTCTAGAATGAAGTTAGAAAATGAGGTGGTGCTAAAGATGACTCCAAACTTGGGAGACTGGGTAGACTGGGTGGTGATGCTGTCAACGAGGTGGGTGGTTCAGGGGGAGATTCCAGTTTGCATTAAGGGAGGAGTTAAGAGGGTGAGAGTTCAGCCTTGGACTTGCTGAGTGGGGATGTCCAAGTGGAACTTGGTGGTGGGTGGAAGTGTAAATTTGGAGTTCTGGGGAAAGTTTGGAACTGACATGTGGATTTGTGTATACTCATCAGCATTTGCAGTCTGAGAGCCAGCAAGAAGATGAGAATTCTCTAGAGACGCTATAGAGACCCAAGGTTTTGATGAAAGGCATATGTTGCTTTTATTAATTCTGTTTTTATTAATAGTGCATAAAATCAGTGAGAAAAATTCAGTGTAAACTTTTTTTTTTAAATTTTAATGTTTATTTATTTTTGAGGGAGAGAGAGACACACACACAGAGCACGAACAGGGGAGGGGCAGAGAGGCAGGCAGACACTGAATCCAAAGCAGGCTCCAGGCTCTGAGCTGTCAGCACAGAGCCTGACGTGGGGCTCGAACTCACAGACCGGGAGATCATGACCTGAGCCAAAGTCGGATGCCTAACTGACTGAACCACCCAGGTGCCCCTGGTGTAAACATTTTTAAAACAAAATGATACATAAAAATTCAGTAATGTGTACTCTTTGTTAAAAATGAAAAAATCACATCGGTTCAGAGGGTTATGAGTAGGAAGTATGCTCTCTTCCCACTCCAATTTCTTGTGTCTCCTTCCAGATGATTTTAGTGCATACATATTATGTTTATGGTTTATCTTGATTATTCCTTTCCAGTATTGCTTTGGTTAAGAGTGGCAGCAGTTTAATAAATATGGCTGACAGCCTACAGGCATGTGAACAGTATGGCTTATTAGTTTGATTTTTCCACCCTCCCCTTGTCCTGTAATGTGTTTTATGATGATATGCTTATAATCTCGACTGGAAAAAATTTTTCTTCTTTTGCCTTTTTTTTCTTTTGCATTTTCTTGGAAAAAAATGTTACTGTTCAGGCAAACATCTTAGTAGTCGTTGTAGTACTTAAATCTTCCCTCGATTAATAGTACTAACACTGTCACAACCTTGTCTGCTTAATGTGAGCAGACTAGTAACTTTTTTTAACCTGGAGGTAGTGATAAGCTAGTATTTTTCTTGATTGCCTTGTCGACAGTGTAATTCTCATTAGAATGAATGAAAGCCTTTTAAGAGTTCTCTTGCCTGGTGAATCCAGAGACTAAAATACACTGGAAAAGTTTGTAGCCCATGTTTTCTTTAGCATGGATTTGATCTCCAGTCTAGTTGAGACTAAAAGGTATTAGATGTCGTTTCGAGAAATGTCCTAATGTTAATTGTGCAATCACTGTAACTTGTTTAAACCCTTCTATTACAGGGTACTTATTGTTGAAAGAGCAAAGAGCATAATGTGTATTTTCATTCATTCAACAAACACTTGTAAGGTACCGCTTTCTGTAATACTAATAGTAATAAAAGGAAACATTGCTTAGTACTTACTATTTGTTAGCTCTTAATAAATACTATCCTGAGTGCTAGATGTTTAATAATGAGCAAAATAAACCTGGTGCTTTCCTTTATGGAACATTACACATGTATAAGATAGTAATACTGTCATTTTTATTTGAATCATGTCAAGAAAATTTAGCGTCAGTAGTTGAATTGATTTTCTTCTGAGTTCTAAGACTTTGTCACCTTTATCAGAGGTTTGCATACCAGTTGGCCTGTACATTCTGATCCTGAATGATCAGAGTGACCTGTATTTTTTTTTTTAACTTTTTTTTTTTTTTTTTTTTTTTGAGAGAGTGGGAGCGTGGCAGAGGTGGGGTGGAGACAGAGGATCCCAAGCGGGGTCCGCGCTGACAGCAGCGAGGCCCATGAGGGGCTCGCAAACTTTGAGATCATGACCTGAGCTGAAGTTGAACACTCAACTGACTGAGCCACCTAGGCACCCCCAGAGTGACCCCCAGTGATTTGACTGAGGCTGTTTTCCAAGAGTTACTTAGTTGAATCTCAGTTCCTTAAAATGCAATTAAAGTGACACTGTGATTATAATTACAATATTTAAAAGCAAACTAATGATTTAACTTACTACTTCCTAGACAGTCCAGCCAACAGTATGAATACACTGTGGGTAGTGCTGGTTTGGGTGTGTCTCAAATCAAGGCGGATATCTTTTAAAGAGATACACTCACAGCATTCCTGACATACACACCTGCCACACATTTGTTACTTAGGAGCTCTGAAAATTGTCTTTTTACTAGTATGTTCTATTGCGAGGAAATAGTTTAAACAATTTCAGAGTTAAGAGTTGGGTACTGGTATTAAACACAGTGTTCTTTTAGATATAGTTTTTTATTTTTTATATTTTATTTATTTACTTATTTATTTATTTTTTTAAATGTTTATTTATTTTTGAGAGAGAGAGAGAGAGCACAAGCCAGGCAGGGGCAGAGAGAAAGAGAGGGACAGAGGACCCGAAGCAGACTCTGTGCTGACAGCAGAGAGCCTGATGCAGAGCTTGAACTCATGAACTGTGAGATCATGACCTGAGCTGAAGTCAGACGCTTAACCAACTGAGCCACCCAGGTGCCCTAGATACAGTTTTTAAAAGAGATGATCAGAATATTATTTTATTTTTGTTGTGTTTTAAGTGTTTTTGATTTGTCCAGCTTAAAAAAGTTTTAAGTTTATTTATTTTGAGAGAGACAGAGACAACATGAGAGGGAGAGAGGGAGACAGAATCCCAAGCAGGCCCTGCACTGTCAGTGCAGAGCTCCATGCGAGGCTTGAACTCATGGAACCGTGAGATCATGACCTGAGCTGAAACCTAGTTGGACGCTTAACTGACTGAGCCACCCAGGTGCTCCTGTCCAGGTTTTTAAAAATGTTTATTTATCTTGAGAGAGAGAGAGAACGTGTGAATGGGGAAGGGGCAGAGAGAGAGGGAGAGGAAAAACTCCCAAGTAGGCTCTGAGCTATCACCTCTGAGCCCAGTGTGGGGCTCCATCTCACAACTTTGAGAAGAGGACCTGAGCTGAAACCAAGAGTAGGACGCTCAGCTGACTAAGCCACCCAGGTGCCCCTGCTTTGCCCAGTTTAGTAACTTGTTTATATGTTATATTGTTAATTTTTAAACAATCTCCTGTCTTCAGTTATTGGCTCATTTCTAGCTATTCTATTCTAAACACATTGCAGCCTTGCTCCTGCATAAAACTTTCAGTAGTAAACATCCACACAAACTTCTACCCCTTTGGGGAAGAGATTGATGAAGATCTATATCAGTTTTACAATTAGTTTTCACAAGTTTCTTTAGGCCATCAAATGGAAGCAGTACCATCAGATTCTAAGTATCATGCCTATTTGAATGCTGTTCCTTTGTTAAGAACGAGTTTTTATTTTCCAGCTGTTCTAGCTTGCAGCATTCAGATAGCTTCCCCAAATTAATATTATCGGTATGAAATATTCTAAAATATATTTAACCCCTGGATCAAGTTGCCTGAGAGGCCAAGAAAGAATCTTTTATTCCTTTGGGACTTTTCATAACTCTAGTACAGTGCTCAATTGAAAATGTGTTCCTGATAAATTGTGAATGACCATCCTCACTGTAATTGGCTGTTTCATAGTTAAGATTAAAGTTAACACACAGGGGTGCCTGGGTGGCTCAGGCAGTTTAGTGTACGACTCTTGATTTCAGCTTGGGTCATGATCTCATGGTTTGGTTTGTGAGCTCAAGCATTCTCTCTCTGTCAAAATAAATAAACTTAAAAAAAAAAAAAGTTAACACACAAACTCCTCCGATGAGATTTTTCTATAAAACAAGATTTCCATTAAGATTGACCAAAAAGTGGGGTGCCTGGGTGGCTCAGCCGGTTAAGTGTCTGACTTCGGCTCAGGTCATGATCTCACGGTTCATGGTTCAAGCCCCGCGTCAGGCTCTGTGCTGACAGCTCAGAGCCTGGAGCCTGCTTCAGATTCTGTGTCTCCCTCTCTTGTGCCCCTTCCCTGCTCATATGCTGTCTCTGTCTGTCTCAAAAATAAACAAACATTAAAAGAAAATTAAAAAAAAAAAAAATTGACCAAAAAGTAAAAAGCTTTGAGGCATGAGATCAAAAGTACAGTAGCTTGGTATTTTATATTAAAATTCAAGTGTCCCAAAGGATTAAACCAGGGATAATCTTAGAGTGGAAATGGGTACTTAGTTGAAGATGAAGGGGTCAGAATGATTTCATGACAGTTGCTGACCATTCTTAACTGTTTTTCCCTTGTGTTGCATTTCACTTTCTACTTCTGTACATTGCTGGACCACTCTTATGTAAGCATTTTACTTTTGTGCATAATTTATTTGTGTTACCACAACAAAGGCTGTTAATAAACCACGTGTTTCCCATAGGAACCTAGTACTGGTCATTATTTGGAATACTATGGCTGGTGGCTTTAAGACTATACAGCAGTAAAACACTATAAATAGTTTATTCTAGGACTGATCTACTTTGACCGCTTCATTTGTAAGTTAATATACTATTTTTCAGGACAGGCTTTTTCTTTGTTGATTTATTTTTTAATTTGCTCTATTAGAACAAAGGAAATTATACATGCTCCAACCATAGCATTTTAGGATCTATTTCATAAAATCAAATAATGATAGAAATAAGCATTAAGCATTGTTCTTGGGCACTTCCTTCTCCCTCTGTTTTTCTTTGTTTGCTGTTTATCTAAAGTATATATAACTTACAATATTTCTGTTGAAAAAAATTATGCCCTGCTTAGATCTTAGTGGATTTATTTTTACTAGTAGAGAATTCTGAAGTTATGCAAGTCTGTAAGGACTTAGAGCTTAATCTTTCTCTTACTGGGATTGAAATAAACATTTTTAAACTCCCTTTTAGGTCCATCATGTTACACAAAATGGAGGACTTTACAAAAAACCGTTTAATGAAGCTTTTGAAGAAACACCGATGCTGGTCGCTGTGCTTACTTATGTGGGGTATGGTGTACTCACTCTCTTTGGATATCTCCGAGATTTCTTGAGGCATTGGAGAATTGAAAAGTGTCATCATGCAACAGAAAGAAAAGAACAACAGGTAATTGTTAAGAGTCTTTGATTCTATAAATGGAAGCCTTTTATAGAGATCTTGGTATTTTCACTCATTATTTCTTTAGAGATCTGGGGACACATTAAAATAAAAATATTCCAGATGAAGTTAAATGAAAGCATTTCACAAAGGAAGTGGAAAACAAGGTTAAGGCATGGAGAAATCAAGGTCTTTAAGATATTTCTAATTTAGTCATCACAAGAATTTATTCCTGTTTGATGGATGAGAAAGCTAAAATTCACAAGTTAAAATAACATTTCCTAAGACACTTCGTGTCAGAGCTGGTACACAGACACAGGTCTGTGAAGTGCCAGAAGCCATGTTCTTTCTGTTCGTGGTACTGTGCTGTATCCCAAGTTGTGGCTCCATTCGTCTGAGAAGATGAAGTTCTGGAGAACTCATGATGTGTTTTCTCATAGACACATTGTACATAGATGTTTGGCTCACAGATCAGCTCCTCTCCCCAAACAAGTCTGTAAACAGAATGTGGTTGAGCTCTGTTCATGGTAGAAAAACAATCTTGTTTGAGTAATTGTAAACAGAGATAATAATGGTGGTCTCTGGGAGGAAAGACCTCACTTCACTTTTCTCTCTATACTCCTTTGCACCTCTAGAGTTCTGTACAGTATGCATGTATTGCCGATTCTCAAAAATCAGCCAAATTAAGGTGAAAAATGCCTGGTATTTCTAAAAACAAACTTGTTTGTTCTTGGCATGTGAAGTATGCAGAGGTTGTCCTCTAACCCAAGGAATATTTAGATTAGAGATAGATTAGGTAGATAGATTAGATTTAGATTAGAGATAGATTATAGAAGGGCTTCAGAAATTAGATTTTATTGGTCCATCATACTTCTCACTTTTGTGGGGTTTTAGAGGAGAGAGGCGGATGTGGTGGCAGCAAGGTCACCACTGAGAGAGGAGCCATTAGACACTGGGCATGGATGGTGGTCCCGTGGGGGGAGGGACGGGGGCATCCAGAAATGTGGGCAAAGAAGGGACGTCATCAGCTGCTAGAAAGCCAAAACCAGTCTGTATGGAATTGAGGATTCTGGTCCTGGGAGAACCCAGAACCCAGGCTGTCTTCTCTCTCATGTCAGTCATTCTGCATCCTCCCCAGCACCAGAACCACAAGTTGGCCATCCTTCACTGCGCTGAAAGGCCTACAGTTCACTTCATCAAGAAGGTATTTCTTGAATACCTAATGCAAGCAAAGCCCTGCACTCAGAAGTTTGGTCCAGTAGGCAAAACTCGTTGTATGGTATTGCTGTTACTTATTTATGGGCCAGTATCTTCCTATTAGACTGAGTTGATGGTGGTTGTCACTGATGGGAGCTAACGTTTGCTTCACATAGCCACATTCAAAAATCTTTGTCTACAGGGACCTCTCCTAGTGTGGACATACTTCAAAGACCTACTAACTAACATGTAGAGGTGGGTGTGGGGGTACTGGTTTTGATGTGGAGAGTATTCCAGGCTGAGGGGATGGGGTGGGCAAGGGTATGAGGAATGTTTGGGAGCAGCTGGGTTTTGGCTGTATGAGAGATTGTGGTTTGAATGTCAAGCTAAGAACTTTCTGGGCAGTGAGGAGTCTGGGCAGTTTTTGAGCAGGGGAGTGGCCGGAGAGTTTGCATAGCTGGTGTTGTGTCATGGTGTGATAAAGAATGAATGGGGTTGCATCAGAATTACTTTGTAAAAGAGTACATCACGTTTCGAACTTGTTCTGTGTTTTCAGAGGGTGAATTGACTCTTGAGTATTGGGGCTGCCTGTGTGTACTTGACCTTTGTGTTAAGGAGTCAGAACACATAGATTTTATTAAGTAGTTTCTAATTCTGTTGAGGAAACATAAACTCTTCAGATTTAATGGGTCTTTGCAAAGCACTATACACGTAAATAGTGTCTGAATTGTATGCAGATGTAGAACAAAAAAATAGCTGACTAGCATTGAATTAATCAGGAAATAATTGTAGGAGGAAGTAATAGGAAATATGTGGGACAGAGGGGGGACATTTGCTTTTACGGTTTAGAGGACTGTACTAATTTGTTTGAATTCTTTCAATAGGATTTTCACAGTAGATAACATTAACAGTTAAAACAGTTGAATTCTGCCATTTTCTTTTCTTTCTTTCTTTTTTTAATCTTTATTTATTTTTGAGAGAAAGACAGTGTGAGCAGGGGAGGAGCAGAGAGAGGGAGACACAGAATCCGAAGCAGGCTCCAGGCCCTGAGCTGTCAGCACAGAACCCAAGGTGGGGCTCTAACTCACGAACCGTGAGATCATGACCTGAGCTGAAGTCGGACACTTAACCGACTGAGCCACCCAGGCGCCCCGAATTCTGCCATTTTCTTATCAAAGTTTAGCTTTTAGAGGGAAAGGAAGATCATTCAGCCCTATGGTAGAGCATGTTTATTTCCTGATACTGGATTAGATGTAGTGAGAGGGATATGCAGAGTTTTAAGTGTTACATTGGAAGAAGTGAGGGAAAGTGCTTGGGATCATAAAATGCAAATCTAATGTTGCCACTTCCTCATTTCACTGAGTGAATGGTGTTTATAACTGCCTCCTTACTTTCTTCCCCATTCCATTATAAAAGAGAGTCCATTTTAACTATTTATGCTAGTTCTTTATATGTTGCTTTGGGTAGAACTGAATCCCATGGCCCCAACTAATGAGTTAGCATGACTTTGTTCTATTCTATGTAAATTGTAAAAAAAAAAAAAAAAAATTCTTTGAATTCTTTACTGCTTGATCCTCTCCTATTAGTGTTATTTTGGAGGAGAATGTTGTTTTTCCCAGTCTGTAGTCTGTTTCTTTTTTATGTGAGATGAAGCTACTAGTCCTCTAGAAACATGTATGTGATTAGATATAGCAAAAGGTTGAATTTAAAACATTCCAGTATCTAGACAAGAAATACCTAAGAAATTTAAGGATCAAATCATGGTAGGTAGTTCCCATACAACTTACCAAACTTAATATTTTGCCTGCCTCTACGGTTTGTTTATGATCAAATATTCAAAAATGGGAAGGATAGGATATTGGGAAGGGACATTATTTATCCACATCCTGATATGTTTAATTTTCAAGATACAAAAGAAGAAAATTATTTGAAATAGATTAATAGAAATTCCTGGAAGTATTTTATTCTTGACCTTCCTCAAAAAGTAGTTTACTAAGAATATTCTGATGGTTGCCATTGTAGCAGTATCTTTGGAAACTATTAATGTCATATAGTTGCTTGATGTATTAAGCTGAGGGATTATCAGTTGGTTTGTCTTTTTTCGTTCTGTGGACTTACAAAGAGCTCTACTTTCCATTGTTTTGTGGTGTGTGTGGACCCCCGGACAGCAGTCATCTATTTTTTTTTAAATAGCCTCATTGAGATAAAATTTATATACCATAAAGGTCACCTGTTTAAAACATATAATTCAGTTAATTTTAGCATTACAGTTGACCCTTGAAAAATGTGGAGGTTAGGGGTGCCGACACCCCCCACATGCCGTTGAAAATTTATGTATACTTTTGACTCCCCCAAAACTTAACTAATACTCTTCAGTTGACCTGAAGTTTTGCTGATAACATAAACAGTCGATTAACACATATTTTGTAAGTTATATGTATCATACTGTATTCTTTTTTTTTTTTTAAGTTTATTTATTTATTTTGAGACAGAGTACCAGCAGGGGAGGGGCAGAGAGCAAGAGAAAAGAAAGAGGATGCCAAGCGGCAGTGCAGAGCCCAATGCAGGCTTGAACTCAAGAACCATGAGATGATGACCTGAGCCAAATCCAACAGTCGGACGGACATTCAAGTGACTGGGACACTCAACTGACTGAGCCACCCAGGCACCCCTACCTTTTATTTTCTTTTTTAAGTAATCTCTACACCCAAGGTGGGGCTTGAATTTACAACCCTGAGACCAAGATTACCTGCTCCACCAACTGAGCCAGCCAGGTGCCCCTTATATACTGTATTCTTACAATAAAGTAAGCTAGAGAAAAAATATTAAGAAAATTATAAGGAAGAGAAAATACATTTATAATACTGTACTGTATTTATTAGAAAAAAATCTGCGTATAGATGGACCTGCAAAGTTCAAACCCCTATTGTTCAAGGGTCAAATGTATTTTCAGAAGTGTGCAGCCAGCACCATAATCTAGTTTTAGAACATTTTTATCATCTGAAAAAGAAACCCCATAGCTGTTAGCAGTCACTTATTACTCCCCCTTATCACCCTAGGCAACCACTGATCTACTTTCTGTTTCTAGATGTTTCATATGAATGGGATCATACAATGTGTGATTATTTGTGTCTGCCTTCTTTTACTTGGCGTAATGTTTTTTGAGGGTCATCCATGTTGTAGTATGCTTCAGTAATTCATTTCTTTTTATTGCTGAATCATCTTCCACTGTATAGAAGTCATCTATTTGTATTTACTCTAGGGATTTCTCACTAGTACCAAGCTGTATCCCAGATAAACCTTTTCAAAGAGTTTTGTAGTAGATTACCACCTTATCCTTTTGCACTAGTGACATTAGTAGGTTTGCAAAAGTTTCCCTGTCACCTTTTGGGCTTTTTTGTTTGGAGCAACAGTGTAGCTTTTTAAAATTTAATTTTATTATTATTATTATTTTAATGTTTTATTTATTTTTGAGAGAGAGAGAGACAGCACGAGTGGGGGAGGAACAGAGAGAGGGAGACGCAGAATCTGAAGCAGGCTCCAGGCTCCAAGCACAGAGCCCGACGTGAGGCTCAAACTCATGAACATCAAGTTCAAACAGCGCATGAAGGCTGTTTGTACTTTACCATTGCCACTCACCTGCCAGTTAAGTATTTTTTGATTTGTCTGAGCAAGTATCCCTTTAGAGTACTTGTTATATTGTATTATAACTTCATTTGTGTGCCACTCCGCTCCACTAAGAGATCCTTAGGAGTGGAAAGGTTGTGTCTTACTCATTTTTATTCCTAATGCCTACCTTAGTGCCTGGAAAGGACAGCTCAGTAAATGTTTGTTCAGTGACTGAGCAAACAAGTATTAGGTTGGCCTGACTAAAGTCCTTTCACAGTGACTAAATTAAGAAGGAGGAGGAAGAGGAGAGTGAGGATGTGGAGTGGGGATGGGGGACAGGCTGGGGGAGGGGGAGGGTAGGAGTAGTGGGGGTATTGTAGTTTGTGGAGAGAACTGTCTTGTTTTTTAATATATCCTGAGTCTGGCAGAAGTATTCAGCAAAAGGCATTGGAAGGAAGGAAGGAAGGAAGGGAGGGAGGGAGGGAGGGAGGGAGGGAGGGATAAGTCATCTATTTTAACCCTGTCCTAGAATATTTAAACTGTAGGAGATATTTTTGGGAACAGACACTCTTGTTGCCTAAACTGGAACCCTGAATAGTTACCCTGTTCCGTCCCCATTCTTGCTTCATTGCTAAGCTGCAGGGAGTTTGGTTAGTGGCCTTTCAGTTCTTTTCACCGAACCTTCTAACTGTAGTCAAGCTTCTACCCTGGCCAGGAGTCCTTCTCTTCTGCCGTTCTGTCCCACCAGCTTTTGGTCTCTAACATCCCTCACTGTGGCAACTTTCCTGTCACTCTGTGTAAGTCTGTTCCTGTCTCAGGGACTGAGGTGTTGTCTCATCGGAACAATGAGGAGTGGTGAGCTCCTTGATCTTGACAGTCTCTGCCCTCCCAGCCACACCCTGGCTGCCCAGAGCTCTACTTCACTTGAGCCTGCAACCGTTTTGGGTTTGGTAACCCTTCCAATAAATGGGACCAGACTGTCTTAAGCGTTTTCTGATGTTTATATAGTAAAACAAAAATAGTGCTCTTTCTTCTAATAAAAATTTGTCTGTGATGGAGTATTTCTCTCAGGTGTTTGAGTTAATACTTTTAACATTAATGTGCAGTATTTAGAAAGGGTTTAAAGAAATGAGATCAAGGGGCGCCTGGGTGGCGCAGTCGGTTAAGCGTACGACTTCAGCCAGGTCACGATCTTGCGGTCCGTGAGTTCGAGCCCTGCGTCGGGCTCTGGGCTGATGGCTCGGAGCCTGGAGCCTGTTTCCGATTCTGTGTCTCCCTCTCTCTCTGCCCCTCCCCCGTTCATGCTCTGTCTCTCTCTGTCCCAAAAATAAATAAAACGTTGAAAAAAAAAAAAAAAAAAGAAATGAGATCAAGAAGAGTTTGTACTGTTTACCCTATTTGATGTGAATGGACAAAGATTGGAAACAGCTCCCCGTTCCCCCAATCCTACTTTGGGAAATAAATGCATGGTGAATGACAGCCAAGGGAAAGTCCCAAATTAGAATTTGGATGTCTTTGTTCCAGTTTTCATTCACTTAGTATTCTTGTTGGAAGAAGAGACTATCAAAAAGGATACATTATTTAAGTAGTAAATTTCCAATTATGATAGACACATTATTTATGGATATTTTCTCAAGGAAATGTAAATGTTAGGGCAATTGTGAAAGAGATGGTATCGGGTACTGCACATTCCAGAGAGTACTTTCTGACTCTGCTCAGCTTTATTTAAGATTTTATCTACTGTGAGGCTTACTTATTAGTTACTTTATAGTCCAATGTCCTAGAAGGTTAATTATAAAATTTTATGAAGTCTTTTTTAGCAATAAAAATCTTACACAATAAGGCTTAAGCTTTGCATGTTTCTAATTAGCTTATTTAACAGATTAATTTAGATTGACACCAAGTCCAGATCTCCGGGCTAGAAGTTCAACAGTTTGCTAACTGTAGTATAGTTTTCTTTTTATTTGGATTACCCCTTATCCTCAGGAGTCCAGTTGCTCTAATGTGGTCTGATCATGTGGTCATATCACATCAGTCATAACATTATGCATTCATTTTAGCTCCAGCCAGACTATTTTTTTATAGACTTAATTTTTAGTGCATCTTATTTCAGGGAAGAAGGGAGGGCTTTAAGTCCCTCATCATGGGAATTCATCACGAGAATCTTTTTTTCAAACTCCCATCCAAGGAAAGAAACCTGAGATAGGTGTCTTTCCATATAAGCAAACTTTTAGTCTTTCTTGCTTATCATTTTTCTTTGGATATATTTCACTTTGATTTTAAAAATATGCAGAGGATGGAATTTTAATTTCAGAATTATTATTTTTTGTTTAAAACTGAAATTACAGTGGTTTTTTTTTTTTTTAAGTTTAATTTATTTTGAGAGACAGAGAGAGAGCATGAGTAGGGGAGGGGCAGAGAGAGAGAATCCCAAACAGGCTTCACGCTGTCAGCACAGAGCCAGACAAGGGGTTCAAATCCGTGAACAATGAGATCATGACCTGAGCCAAAACCAAGAGTTTTGAATGCTTAACCAACCAAGCCTCCCAGGTGCCCTTAAAATTACAGTGTTTTTATTAAAAAAAATTTTTTTTTAATGTTTTTATTTATATTTGAGAGAAAGAGAGAGACAGAGACAGAATCAGAAGCAGGCTCCAGGCTCTGAGCTGTCAGCACAGAGCCCGACGTGGGGCTTGAACTGAACCGTGAGATCATGACCTGAGCCGAACTCGACTGAGCCGCCCAGGTGCCCCAAGACCTACTTTATTAAGTTAAGTTCTTTGACTCTACGTTCATGCAGTCAGATGATTATTTACAACAATTTCATATAGGTTAGCCATCAAAGCCAAGTGGTTTTTACCTGATTAAGAGTTGTTTTACCTTGAGGCGCCTGGGTGCCTTAGTGGTTTAGCATGGGACTCTTGGTTTCAGCTCAGGTCATGATCTCACGGTTTCGTGAGTTCGAGCCCGTGTGGGGCTCTGTGCTGGCAGTGCGGAGCTTGCTTGGGATTGTCTCTCTCTTCCTGTTTCTCTCTGCCCTTCCCCACTCTCTCTGTCTCTCTCAAATAAAAAAACTAAAAAAAAAAAAAAAAGAGTTGTCCCCCCCCCTTTTTTTAAAGTAATCTCCACACGTACATGGGACTCAAATTGCAACCCTGAAGTCAACAGTCTCATGCTCTACTAAGCCAACCAGGTGCCCCAGAGTTGTTTTAAAGTTTTAAAGTTGTTTTTAACATAGAGAATTGATGCCTTTGTGATTCTTTTCCTTATCAGCGAATTCAATATAATTGTCCTCTCATTCTTAAGTGCTCTTACAACATGAAAAGGGAAGTTGTAAAAATTTTCTAAAGCAATTTAGTTAAATTCATGGTATTTCACCATTTGTTGGCAGGACTTTGTGTCATTGTATCAGGATTTCGAAAACTTCTATACAAGAAACCTCTACATGAGGATTAGAGACAACTGGAATCGACCGATCTGTAGTGTGCCTGGAGCCAGGGTGGACATCATGGAGAGGCAGTCTCATGATTATAACTGGTCCTTCAAGTGAGTCTCAGTTGGGAAATTATCTCTTGACAGCAACAAAAAGGAATTTCTTCACTTCAGAATTTATTCTATTGCAAATTGAGTATTCTGTTAAAACAAGAGTCGAAGCTGAGAGTACAGCACGACATAATTAGTTTCCTTGCATATAGTTCATCGTTATCCAGATTTTTAAATTATATTTTTCTGTTACATTTGATACTGTGTTGGATTATAACTGAAAACAAAGTTTGACTAATTAAAAAGAAAAACAAGAAGCCAAAGAAAAACTGTCCTTTCTGTTATGCCACTTACAAGAATCAAGTGTCTGAATATACTTCTAGATATTTTGATTTCTCGAATGGTTCCAGGATATATGCAATGCTTTTACTTAAATAGGCTGAATAGTTTAGAAAACTTTTCATATTCATAAAACTTTATTGTTTAGATCTCACAAGTATTGCATCGTTTGCATTGTTACTATTAAAAAAAGAAAAAGATAATACAGATAAATGAAACATTCCCCCATGACAACTAACCACTATCCCTTCTGCAAATCCACTTCCCCACAAATCTTCACTCCCCAGAGGTGACCACTGTTACCAGTTTGTTGTGTATCATTCCTCCAGATGTTTTCTGTGGGGTATGTATGTGGTGAATCCACTGGGGTTACGTACAGGTAATTTTTGATTTATAAAAATGGGGACCATACTATAGAAATCATTTTATACCTTGCTTTTTTCTTGCTAACATGTTGGTAATATCCTGCTTGTCTGTATCCACAGCCAGCTTAATATTAGCAGTGGCTACTTAGCATCGTATAGTATAGATGTATATAGTGTATGGCAGGTTGGGCTGCACCATCCTTTGTTAAAAACCCCAAAATTTCAGAGTTCAAACAGCAGCAGTTTCTTGTCCACACTTCCCGTCCACCTTAGGTTGGTGGAGCCTCTGAACCATGTTATTCTCACTGGTGGGCCCAGGCTGATTGAGCTTCCATCATATGGAATGTCACTGGTCTGTGTGCCTGGAGAAGGGGCATGGTAGATAAATTGTGCAGTGACTCTGAAAGGATCTTTATGCAGCTATCCTTTCGTATCTGTGTGGAAATTGCTGAGTCAAAGAGTATGTACTTCTTTTAATGGAGAAGTCCTGCCAAACTGCCCTCCAAAAAAAGAAAAAAATTACTGACTGATATTCTTATCTACAGTATGTGAGACTGTCCTGGCCAACACTGGCTATGGTCAGTTTTTAAATCTTTATCATTATCTATACGTGAAAATTACTATTTTGTTTTAATAGTATTTGCTTAATTTTAGTTTCTTAGTGAGTTTGAGCTTCCTTTCTACTAGGCCATATTCTCCCTACTTTCTGTATATGGTGCTTCCTTTTATATCATCAGTGTGTTTATTATTACGTGTACATATTTGATTTGCTCATGAGTTTCATGAACTTTTATGGTATTGAAATACAGGTACACAGGGAATATAATTAAAGGTGTTATAAACATGGGTTCCTACAACTATCTTGGATTTGCACGGAATACTGGATCATGTCAAGAAGCAGCTGCCAAAGTCCTAGAGGAGTATGGAGTTGGAGTGTGCAGCACTCGGCAGGAAATTGGTAAGTGCAGGCTCTGTTTGGCCAGCTAATGTTCTTAATTGTGCTACTCCGGAGGCAATAATGCTGATGCAGAGCTAGAATAGTAAGCATCCAAATACATACTTTGCCATAGTTTCTGAAATAACGGATGATTTTAATGGGTTCAACACATGTTGAGACATATTTATCTTTTCCATTATATTATAATACAAAATATCTCTAGAAAAGTTCCATAAGTATTTGACTCATTTACAGCTTTAATGTTCACTTTGTTGGCTTTTACAAATGGTAGTGGTTAAGAGTGCTGTTTCCTAGGCCTGACCCTGTGGGCATATGAGGGTTATTTAATCTGTTTCTATGCTGGTAAGTGGGGGTGAGAATAAATACTACCTTATAGGGCTATTGAAGAATTAATTCATATAAAGCATTTGTGACTTGGTAAATATTCAGTAAATGTTAACTTTTTGTTTTTGTACCTTTACAAAATGTAAAGGTGAATATATTTATATAAATAAATTTCATTTTTGTTCATAGGACGATTTCAAATTCTTCTGTTTTGTTCCAGAGAACTGATAACTATAAAGGTTAAAAGGCAACTTCTGGATATTTGTTACTATGAATCACCCTCAAACTTAGTAGATTAAAACAGTAATTCATCATTATTTCTCATAGGTCTAAAGATTGGCAAGTTTAGCTGGGTCATTTGTACTCAGGTCCTTAATGACATAGTTTAGGAAGCATGGTGCAATGGTGATATATGGTAATCAGACCTTACATCTTTATGACACTTTGTAGTTTATAAATTTCTTGAGCCTTTTCTCTCTTTTGATCCTCACAACAATGTCATGAGGTAGATAGAGCAAATATTATTATTGGTATTTAGCAGATATGAAACTGAAGCCCAGGGAGGTTAAATGACTTGCTTAAAGCTTTGAGGACTTGTAGCATCTCAGTTCAGCAGTGTTTTTTTCATCATGTTTTCTGCATTGATCAGTCTTGTTCGGTCCTTACAGATTTGATTATTGACATAAAATCACAATACAAAGTGAGGGAGGATGTTTTTTTGTTTTTGTTTTTGTTTTTGTTTTTTTTTTAATTTTTTTTTCAACATTTATTTATTTTTGGGACAGAGAGAGACAGAGCATGAACGGGGGAGGGGCAGAGAGAGAGGGAGACACAGAATCGGAAACAGGCTCCAGGGTCTGAGCCATCAGCCCAGAGCCCGACGCGGGGCTCGAACTCACGGACCGCGAGATCGTGACCTGGCTGAAGTCAGACGCTTAACCGACTGCGCCACCCAGGCGCCCCGGGAGGATGTTTTTTAACTTGTCTTTTGCTACATAACAAATCATTCTAAAACCTAGCAACTTAAAACAGACACAGACATTTATTTGCTTATAATTCTGCCATTTGGAGAAGTCTTGATATTTATCTTAGCTCCATGTGGTGTTGGGTGGGGCATTATGGCTGAGGATAGAGTATCCAGGGTGGTTTCACTTACATGTCTGATACCTCAGTTGGGTAGTGGGATCAGTCAAGGGCTGGCTGAGCCCTGCATTCCTCTTCCATAGTCACTTATCCTCCAGAGGTCCTCCTGCTCCCCGTGGCTTTTCTTTACAAGCTAGTTAGACTGTTTTGTGTGGCAGCTGACTTCAAAAGTATAAAAGCAGATGTTGCCAGGCCTCTCAAGGCCTAGACTTAGAACTATCATGTGTCAGCAGGAATGGGAGAAATTGTTGGCAATCTTCTTTACAGAAATTCCATCACAGGGGCTGAATCTGAAGGTATTCAGATCTGAAGTGGTATCGACCACGATGTCTTTCGTTAGCCATTTCTCTTCATACTACTCTTCTATAGAGCTTAGTCTGAAAAGGTTGTAACGTGAAGACTGTGATTTCTTTTTATAAAGTAATGAGTAACTTTTAAATTCAGGATTTGGCAGTGTTAACTTCACTAAGTTCTTCACACAGGAAACCTGGACAAGCATGAAGAACTAGAGAAGCTTGTGGCAAGTTTCTTGGGAGTAGAAGCTGCTATGGCATATGGCATGGGATTTGCAACAAATTCAATGAACATTCCTGCTCTTGTTGGCAAAGTAAGACTTGTCATTTATGAAAACTCTCTTGTATGTTGTAAAGCATTCAGAACAAGCCAAAGGCTGTTGTAAACTTCATACCAAACCTGGTCTGCCGAAAGATATATCTATCACAAATTTTTGAATAACAATATCACATGGAGACTTAGTGGAAGCTTTCTTGCTAGAACTCATGATTTTTTACTCTTCCATTAGAGGATTCTTGCCTTCGTCATTCATGTGGTTTTGAAAGGGATTCTGATAAAAACCTCATAAAATGCTAAAATTTTGAAAGAAACAATGTTTAATTTGGAAGGTTGTTTAACAGGTGGTTTTTCCTAAGTAGAAAAATTTGAAAATACATAGGTACCCTAATACTTGTTCTTATAATGCGTGTTGCTCAGAGATAATATAGGCAAATTATAGGTATATATGTAAAGTGAAGGTAATACTATAGGTTAAAAGTAAGAATATAAGTTAATAATAGTGAAAGTTTAAAGCACCTGGGTGGCTCAGTCAGTTAAGTGGCTAACTCTTGATTTCGGCTCAGGTCATGATCTCACAGTTCATGAGATCAAGCCTTCATCAGGCTCTGCACTGACAGTGTTGAGCCTCCTTGGGATTCTCTTTCTCCCTCTCTGCCCTCCTGTGCTTGCACTCTCTCTCTGTCTCTCAAGATAAGTAAATAAACTTAAAAAAAGTAATAATGAAGGTTAAAAGTAGTAGTACTAATAAAAATAATAATTTAAGAACTGTGTATTTTTTGCTCCCTTGTGGGTAGAGTTTGTAAGGGGGCAGTTAAGGAGAGAAGAGATAAGAGACTTTGTAAATCACATTTTAGCAGACTGACACTCTCCACTTGAAAGGGCCCTCAAGGAATTTTATTTATTTTTTAAATTTTATTTTAAGTAGGCTCCACACTCAGTGTGGGGCTTGAACTCACAACCCTGAGATCAAGAATTGTATGCTCCACTGACTGAGCCAGCCAGGTGCCCCAGGTTTTTTAATATTGATATTTAGGAATTGTATATTGAAAAATTGGTAGATTACTGAGTTGAAAGACTTGGGTTTTTGTTTGGTTGCTTATATATTCAAATTTATTTATTTTTTTGTATATTCAAATTTAGCTCTATGACTGGGAGCATGTCACAGCCTTCCTTTTTTTTTTTTTTTTTTTTCTTTTAAGTTTTATTTATTTAAGATATCTCTACACCCAAACCTGGGGCTCAAACCCATGACCTCCCAAAGTCAAGAATTGGCCTGCTCTTCTTTTTTTTTTTTTTTTAATGTTTATTTATTTTTTGAGAGAGACAGTGTGAGTGGGAGAGAGGGAGGGAGACACTAGAATTGCCTGCTCTTCTGACTGAGCCAGCCAGGCAACCCGTCACAGACTTTCTGAGCCTCAGATTTTGCCTTGTAAAATGAGGTACTTGGACTAGGTTAACTGTAAAGTCCTTTTCAGTTATATAATGTATGGTTTCTTTTTTTTTCTTTTTAATTTTTTTTTAACGTTTATTTATTTTTGAGACAGGGAGAGACAGAGCATGAACGGGGGAGGGTCAGAGGGAGAGGGAGACACAGAATCTGAAACAGGCTCCAGGCTCTGAGCTGTCAGCACAGAGCCCGACGCGGGGCTCAAACTCACGGACCGCAAGATCATGACCTGAGCCGAAGTCGGACACTTAACTGACTGAGCCACCCAGGCGCCCCTATAATGTATGGTTTCAAGGAACACATGGAACAAATAAAGAACAAATACCAAGGGAGGAGGTTTAAACCCAATTATATTGATATTATATGATATTATATTAAATATAAATGGCTTATATATTCCAATTAGAAAAGAGAGGTTGGGGGCATCTGGGTGGCTCAGTCATTTAAGCATCTGACTTTGGCTCAGGTCGTGATCTCACTATTCATGAGATCAAGCCCCACGTTGGGCTGTGCACTGATGGTGCAGAGCCGGCTTGGGTTTCTCTCTCTCTCCTTCTCTCTGCCCCTTCCCCCCACACATGTGCTCTCTCTCTCAAAATGAATAAACCTAAAGAAATTATTTTTTCAAAAATAAAAAAGAGCTTGTCAGATTAGATAAAATTAAGTAGGTTTCTACCAAAAACCTACTTTAAAGACACAGGTTAAAAGTAAAAGGATGAAAGGAGATACAGCAAGCAAACAATAATTTGAAAAGAAAATTAGAGTGACTATATTAATATAAACAAAGATTTCAGAGCAAGGAATATTTCTCGGGGTAAAGTGGAACATTGTATAATGATACAGGAGTTAATTCATTAAAAAGATAACAATTTAAAATATATCGGTACCTAAATAGAGCTTCAAAGTACATGAAGCAAAAATTGATGAAAGGAGAAATAGACAAATATATAATTGTTACTAGACATCTCCATATCCTTCTCTGAATAATTGATAGAACTAGGCAGAAAATCAGCAAGGTTAGAGAACACTTGAAAAACATTACCAACCAACTTGACCTAATTGACATTTATGAAACATTTTACCCAATAACAGCAAACATTTACCAAGATAGGCCATTTTCAGGGCCCTTAAACAAGCCTTAACAAAATTTTAAAAATTTAAATTATTCAAAGTATGTTCTCTGATTCTAATGCAATTAAATTAGAAATCAGTAACATAAGGGGCACCTGGGTGGCATCCGTAAGTGTCAGACTTTGGCTCAGGTCATGATATCACGGTTTATGAGTTTGAGCCCCACATTGGGCTCCATGTTAACAGCTCAGAGCCTGGAGTCTGCTTCAGATTCTGTGTCTCCCTCTGCCCCTCCCCAACTCGTACGTGCCTGCTCTCTCTCTCAAAAACAAATAAAAAGAAAGAAAAATCAGTAACACAGAGATACCTGGAAAATGCTCAAATATTTGAAAAAACATACTTCCAGATAACTCATGAGTCACAAAGCAGAAAGGAAACATAGAAAATAATTTGAATGAAATGGAAGTGAAGCATATTATAATTTGTGAGATAAAGCTAAAGCAATTCTCAGGGAATATATAGTGTTAAGTGCTTGTATTAATAAAAGAAAAGTTTTGGGGTGCCTGGGTAGCTCATTTGGTTAAGCGTCCGATTCTTGATTTCAGCTCAGGTTGTGATCTCATGGTTCATGAGATGGAGCCCTGTGTTCCATGCTGACAGCTTGGAGCCTGCTTGGGATTTTTCTCTCTCCTTCTCTCTCAGTCCCTATCACCCCTCCCTTCAAAATGAAAAAAAATAAACATTAAAAAAAAAAGAAAAACATTTTTTTTTGAAGGAGAGAGAGACAGAGAATGAGGAGGGGAGAGGCAGAGAGAGAGGGAGACACAGAGTCTGAAGCAGGCTCCAGGCTCTGAGCTGTCAGCACGGAGCCCGATGTGGGGCTCAAGCTCACGAACTGCAAGATCATGACCTGAGCCAAAGTCAGATGCTTAACCAACTGAGCCACCCAGCCACCCCAAAAAAGAAAAATTTTTATGGAAACCAATTTGACAATAAATTTTGTATAAAAAAAAAGCCACATTTTGAATCAGCCATCTAAATAAGGACTTTGAAAAAGAAGAGCAAATTAAAGAGTCCCAAAGAGTCCAAACAGAGGAAAGATAAAATAAAGGTAAATTCAGAAATCAATGATTTAGAAAAGAGACTATGGGAAAAATGTGTGAAACCAAAGATGGTTCTTTGAGAAAATGAATAAAATTGATAACTCTCTAGCCAGACTGGTGAGGATAAAAAGAAGACACAAATTGCCAGTGACAGGAATGACAGAGGGCACATCACTACACATCCCATAGACATTAAAAGGATAATAAGGACATTTTAAGAACTTTATGCCAGTAAATTCAACAACTTAGATACAGTGGACACATTCTTTGAAAGACCTAAATGTATGGTTCTTTGACTTCGTCACGTTGATTATAATACATTCCTGTCCTGCATTTTAGCAGTATAAATCTTGAGATTCTTACTTGGAATTTCTCAGAATTTTTCACAGTAAAGAGTTAAATAATCTTGTTCTATTCTTCCCTGTATGTTCAGAAACTCTAATCATGTAGAATTAGAGATCTTATATACAGACACGGAAAGTCTTACCTTAAAGATTTATCTTTCAAATCAAGTATTTTAGTTGAAATGTTATTTATTTTAGTTGAAATGTTATTAAGTATCATTTAATCTATTAAAGGCAGGAACCAATACAGTTTTAATATTTCTTTGAGTCTGATACTAAATTCTATGTGAGGTTGTTGATTATTCAGCTTCAAGGAAGGGGGAATCAGTATACTGTAGAATAAGAGCATGTGTTCTGGTAGCAGAAGCTTTGTAATGAATCACTTAGCATGCTTGTGACCTTGGGCAAGGTTTGTTAACTTCTCTGAAAGGGAATTTCCTCATATGTAAAGTGGGGATAATAATAGTACCTGCCTCAGAGATTTTTTTAATGAGGATTAAAAGTAATAATGCCTTTAAAAGCCTTAACATAATGCCAGGAACCTATTAAGTACTTAGCTGTTAACTGCTGACATTTAATTTTATTTTATTTTTGAACTAAGGATGATAGTTCATGGTAGATTGATACACAGAAATGGTGAATAAGAATGTCTAAAAAGGAGGTAAGGGGCTCCTGGCTGGCTCAGTCGTGGAGCATGCAACTCTTGATCTCGGAGCTGTAACGAGCCCCACGTTGGGTGCAGAGATTACTTAAAAATAAACTCTTAGGGCTCCTGGGTGGCTCAGTCGGTTAAGCGTCCGACTTCAGCTCAGGTCACGATCTCGCGGTCCGCGAGTTCGAGCCCCGCGTCAGGCTCTGGGCTGATGGCCCAGAGCCTGGAGCCTGCTTCCGATTCTGTGTCTCCTCTCTCTGCCCCCCCCCCCCCCCCCCCGTTCACGCTGTGTCTCTCTCTGTCTCAAAAATAAATAAACGTTTAAAAAAATAATAAAAAAATAAATAAACTCTTAAAAAAATACATAAAAAGGTAAATAACAAATCATATTGCAGATTTTGTCAGAAAAAAAAAATGAGCTGAAAAGAGAAGAAAATAAAATTGTATGGAGGGAAAGGAGGAGGATCCTTTTAAGGTACAGTGGAATGCAAGAGTGGCAAGTAAAGGATTTGAAGACTTGCAGAAGAGAAATTCAGAGTTTGGATGTAAATAAAAGCTTGTTGTTGTATACCTGAATATTTAAGTCAGTCACAGGACTGAAGAAATGAAAAGGCTGGAATTCTGCATCTACTTCTAAGTTAATTTTGCAAAACAAAAATATGTATACTTTTCTTCTTCTTGAAATTGATAGTTTTGCTGTTGTACAAGCTTTCCTTAATAAGATAGCATTATTCATGATTTTAGCGTTTTATAATTTGTGTAATTACATCTTTCCTCCCAGCTTCTTACCTTCCTGTGCTTGTGGTTTTGCAGGGTTGCCTGATTTTGAGTGACGAACTAAACCATGCATCTCTGGTTCTAGGAGCCAGACTCTCGGGAGCAACCATTCGAATCTTCAAACACAACAGTGAGTTTGATGTGGAATCCACTTCAGACTTTAGTGTTTAATATTTTTTGGGTTAGTGGCAATGGTACCATTAGTTACATTAATAATAGAAAATCTCAATGAAGCATGTTGTGACATTTAAAATGTCCTTCTGGTCCAGTCTTTTAAAAGTTATTCTTGGGGCACCTGGGTGGCTCAGTTGGTTAAGCGACTGCCTCTTGGGTTCGGCTCAGGTCATGATCAATAGTTTGTGAGTTTGAGCCCCTAATCAGGCTCTGTGCTGACAGAGTGGAGTCTACCTGGGACTCTCTCTCTCTCTTTCTCTGTCTCTGTCTCTCTCTTTCTCTCTCTCAAAAAAATAAATAAACTTTAAAAAGTTATTCTCTTCCTCATTAGAATAGAAATAGAGGCTAAAGGAAGCCTTTTTCCTCATTAGAATAGAAATAGAGGCTAAAGGAAGCCTTTTGGTACAAAATACAAGATTCTCCTTTTATTTGGCTTTCAACTTTTTCTAAATAAATTTTTTCAATGTGTATTTATTTCTGAGAGAGAGAGACAGAGTGCAAGCAGGGGAGGAGCAGAGAGAGGGAGACACAGAATCCGAAGCAGGCTCCAGGCTTTGAGCTGTCAGCACAGAACCCAATGTGGGCCTTGAATCCATGAACAGTGAGATCATGACCTGAGCTGAAGTCGGCCACTTAACCAACTGAGCCACCCAGGTGCCCCGAGAGAGGCAGGGGAGGGCTTGTGGTGGGGGAGAGAATCTTAAGTGGGTTCCACACACAGCGTGGAGACTGATGCCTGACATGGGGCTCGAACCCCTGACCCTGGGATCATGACCTGAGCACAAACCAAGAGTCGGATGCTCAGCTGACCAAGGCACCCAGGTGTCCCCAGAGCATTTATCATTAACAGGAAAATTATGATCCTCATTAATGGTAGTACCAGCCAAGCTGTTTCTGGGCCTGTTAACCATCCTTAAGGACCAACAGAGCCATGAGAGCTAGATAATGTACAGACAGCTGATCAAGTCAAACAAAAGGCTAACTAATTGCCAGGCTTTCTTACCACATAGTCTCATGGATGGCACTGGCGTATTTTTAGCACACTACTAAGTTAAAGCTGTTTAACAAGCAGTTATTGAGTGTATCCTGGGTGAAAGGAAATGGAGCATGCGCATGAATTTTCCCTCCTATTTGCTTTTTAAGAGGTGCATGTATTTTTAATAGTTTATTTGCACTTTCTTGCTCAGTCTTTTATGTGTGTATTTCTGAATGACTCACTAGGATTAAAGATACAGTTGATTCTACGAATACAAAAAAAAAAAAGCTAACTGAATGGTCAGGTATTTAACATGAAACATGAGCCATTTCACAAGCATGCTAACCAACTCTGAATCACCTATGCCACAGTTATTTGGTGGAGTTTTTGTGGTTTTGAACATTTATTACATTTCAGATTGTCATTCAAGCTGGCAGTAGCTCACCCATTTTGCCTTTTTCGGCTCAGTTCTGATTCCATAAGTTAATGTCCTTTGCTATTTGAGACACCCTTCCTGAATAAGAAACGTGCATTTGCATTTCTGAAATAAAGTTCAGAAAGAGGAAGGTACTTTGTGCTGAAATTCTTTTTTGTGTGATGTAGATATGCAAAGCCTAGAGAAGCTGCTGAAAGATGCCATTGTTTATGGTCAGCCTCGGACTCGAAGGCCCTGGAAGAAAATTCTAATCCTTGTGGAGGGAATATATAGGTAATCCTACTTTCTTATTCTTATCTTTTCTGATTTGGCTCCATGAAGTTACAGAATTTTTAAGCAGAAGGGAATGGTAATCTAGACCCCTCTGGAAACTAAGGAAACAATGTTTATGATTTGTTAAAATACCTGGAAGCAGGGGCTCCTGGGTGGCTCAGTCGGTTAAGCGGCCGACTTCGGCTCAGGTCATGATCTCGCGCTGTGAGTTCCAGCCCCGCGTCGGGCTCTGTGCTGACAGCTCAGAGCCTGGAGCCTGCTTCAGATTCCGTGTCTCCCTCTCTCTCTGGCCCTCCCCCGTTCATGCTCTGTCTCTCTCTGTCTCAAAAATAAATAAACGTTAAAAAAAAACAAACAAACCTGGAAGCAGAGTTTGCACTAGAACAGAAGTCTTTTTCTCTGGCTTTTCTTTATTCTTTCTGTTGTGCTTCATAGTCTCCAGATCACCCCTCTGTTGGGGTCCTTTCTTTTTCTGCTGTTTATAGAGGGAATTTATACAGGGGGCCAAGAATTGGAATATATTTTCTAATATGTCAAAACAAATCATACATCATTTCATTTGAAGAAAGATTTTATTCTGGTTTATTTGCAGTCCTCGCACTTACTTTCTTATGTCCTATTTTTTTTTAATTCTTTTATTTCATTTTATTCTGTTATTTTAATTACACATGCAACATAACACAAAATCTAATGTTGCCTGTAATTACAAGCATTGGAAGAATCTGGTGACCTTTATCCCTCTGTGGTAAATTAAGATCAGTTCTGTTCTGATGCTTGTTTTAAAAGATCCACTCTCCTTTCCCCTAGACATCTGCCTGGCCATGGCATCACCTAACTTTGCTAGTTTAAAATCACAGGCAGATGGGGCACCTGGGTGGCGCAGTCGGTTAAGCGTCCGACTTCAGCCAGGTCACGATCTTGCGGTCCGTGAGTTCCAGCCCCGCGTCAGGCTCTGGGCTGATGGCTCGGAGCCTGGAGCCTGTTTCCGATTCTGTGTCTCCCTCTCTCTCTGCCCCTCCCCCGTTCGTGCACTGTCTCTCTCTGTCCCAAAAATAAATAAAAAACGTTGAAAAAAATTAAAAAAAATAAAATAAAATCACCGGCAGAGTTGTCAAACTATTTTAAAAAAGCAATAAGCTGAAAAAATTAATAATAACAGTAAGTTGACAGACCAGCCCCTAATTTTGAGTTAAGAAGTCTCTGTATGTATTTTCTCCTGTCTTGCCAGCATGGAGGGATCTATTGTTCGCCTTCCTGAAGTGATTGCTCTTAAGAAGAAATACAAGGCATACTTGTATCTAGATGAAGCTCACAGCATTGGGGCTCTGGGACCTACAGGTCGAGGGGTGGTAGATTACTTTGGCCTGGATCCTGAGGATGTGGACGTTATGATGGGAACATTCACAAAGAGTTTTGGTGCTTCTGGAGGATACATTGGAGGCAAGAAGGTAAATGGGCCATGTGAATTGAGCAATTGAGGATAAAGGGACTGGTGATTAGACTTGGTAACTCACTTGTGACAGATAAGAATCTGGAACCCTGATGTGGAGACCCTGAATTTGTTTGTGGCTTAGGCTCACAGTGCCTTTGGGCTTCACAGTTCAGCTTAGGGAGTGACTGATAAACTAAAGGCGGGTTCTGTTCATTGTTTGTTGTTTTCTTATTTGAGCTTCACTCTAAACTACACACTGGTCTGAGATACAGAACACCCTCTTGTATGAGAGAACACACAGTGGTGCTGCCTGTTTGCCACAGTCTTCTACTGGGTTTGAGTTGTGCCCACAGTTTCAAAAGTAGAGTTTATAATGAGAGCCAGTGGGAATAGAAGACCAGTTTCCCTCCCCTTGACCTCAAATGCATCTTGGATGAGCATAGAGACAGGAAGAAAAAGATTATTTTGCCTGCTCTGGTGTACTACAAGGCATTGTATTTTTCAATTGAAAAATTATGTAATGAACTTTGAGGTTTTTGAGAATCAATGCGCTGTGATGGAAATGGCTGAATCATGAGACAGAGGCCTAGGTTTGAATATTTCCCTAACTTTGTGAGACCTTGGGCAAAGCATTTAACCTTCCCATTTCCTTATCACTAAAAACAGAGATAAATATGCCTAGTTTATAAGATTGTATAGTAAGGGTTGAAAAAATAATGTACGTCCATGTTACAACATGGATGAATTTGAAAGTTCATGTTAGTCAGTTTACATGAACTTAAAGAAGTCAGTCACAAAGGTCACATTGTATTATTGCTTTTATATGATATATCCAGAGCAGGCCGATTCAGAGACAGAATGTAGGTTCGTGGTTGCCAAGGGCTGAGGGGATGGGAGAAGCGGCAAGTGATTGCTGATGGGTATGAGGTTTCTTTCTGAGGTAATAAAATGTCCTAAAATTAGATAGTAGGGCCTGGCTCGCTCATTTGGTAGAGTATGTGATTCTTGATCTCAGGGTCATGAGTTCAAGCCCCATGCTGGGCATAGAGCCTACTTTAAAAAAATAAATAAAACAAGATAGTGATGAAAGTCGCACAGCTCTATGAGTATACTGAAAGCCACTGAATTGTATACTTTAGTAAAGTTAATTCCATCTCGGTAAAACTGTTATTTAAAAAAACTCTCCATGGTATTAGAAAAAAACACATCATTTGTTAGTATTTGTATGAGGTATGTGGTAGGAGGAGCTCATACATATCTCGAATTCCTTTTTAAACCTTGACATTGGCTTAAAGCATGGACTTTCTCTTAATAATTGATTGCCTTTTAGAGAAAACTCATTATTAGTGGTTTTAGTCAAGGCTGATAGAGTTTTACCTCAAATTTTTGTTAATGGAACCAGGCTCACTTTGGAGAGTTTGATTGCTAAGATTTATTGCCAAACCAAAGGACTTGAAATCATACTCTGGGAGATCATTTAGGTATGGTATATCTTTGCTTTTGTGGGTTTTGAATAGTCTTTAGTGTTTTTGAAGTGATACACTATTTTTGTAGTCCTATTCTGTGTGTCCTTTTTGGGTTCTGATACATGAGCTACTTTGCACATTTTATTTAAAGATTTAGTGAAGTTAAAAGGAGAGAATAGGGACATAGACCTGATTGTTTTGGACTCCTTGTAACTGGCATACAAAGTTTTTCTTCACTCAGTGAGATGGCTTTCCTGTTCTCATGAAAGACCCAGTGAATTTCTATTCTGCCATATTTATATTATTTTATAAATCTGTATCTGGAGGATATTTAGATTTTTTAATGTTGGGGGGGGCACAGAGACAAGGGGACAGAGAGGATCTGAAGCAGGCTCTGCTCTGACAGCAGAGAGCCTGGTGGGGTGCTTGAACTGAGGAACCATGAGATTATGACCTGAGGTGAAGTCGGACACTTAACCAACTGAGCCACCCGGGTGCCCCTAGAGGATATTTAATACCTTTAAAATTGATGCTAGAGAACGGTCTTACTCTTACTCAGAAGTGTAAGGATGGGCTTAGCAGACATAGAGTAGCATGTAGATGATATTTTTTGTAATACTTAAAAGTAAATTATTGTGGGGTGCCCAGGTGGCTCATTTGGTTAAGTGTCTGACTCTTGGTTTCGGCTCAGGTCATGATCTTGTGGTTTGTGAGATTGAGCCCCAAGTCGCTGACAAGTGTGGAGCCTGCTTGGAATTCTCTCTCTCTCTCCCTCTCTCTCTGCCCCTCCCCTGCGTGTGTTCTCAAAATAAATAAATAAACTTAAAAAAAAAAAAAGGAAATTATTGTATCTAAAAAGCAATCCATATGCCTTGTTTATTAACACAGCATTGCAGATACGTTTATAACATTAAGTGGTATGTTCTCCAAATTTAGAGAGCTTCTTTAAAACTAGTTTTTCTTTCTTTCGTGTTGTGGCACATTTAACAAACAAAACAAAGCCTGAGGCTGTTGCCATGTGTCAGATGCAGTTGTTGCTGGTGGTGTCCTTTGACCTATGATGCTGGTTGATCTTGAATCTCAGATTAGTGTCCCCATCCCCATGCTCTTGAAGGGAGGAAGAGTGCTTTCACCTGGAAGGAAGGCAGTGATATCGCCTGAGGATTCAAGCTTTACCTCTAATGACTTGCTTCTGTGAACTCCACAGGAGCTGATAGACTATCTGCGAACACATTCCCATAGTGCAGTGTATGCCACGTCGCTGTCACCGCCTGTTGTGGAGCAGATTGTCACCTCTATGAAGTGCATCATGGGGCAGGATGGCACTACCCTCGGTAAGTGTGTTTTCTTGGAATATTTCCTATGTTCGGTAAATGCTTAGCAACCAAACATGCTCTTTTCTTGAACTTTTTTCCTCAAATGAGGAGTCAGGTCTACTAATGGGCAGAACTGGCAGGTGTGTGAGGCCTCGGTTGCTATGGGCACTTTTCAGTGTGTTTGGTACACATATGCCATGACAACTAGCCTGGCTTGCTTCCAGTTGAATTTTCTTGTCTACAGATGGTGACACTTTAATCTTACGATCTTACCTATCTTCATAAGTCTTAGGTAATGAGCCCCAGAGTCTTTCTCAAATTGTACAGTTTTATATGAAGATGTAACTCACTGTGTGTAGTGAGAATCTATTCCCAATGTATTTAAAGTCTGCTGTTTGCATATATTAGTGTCCTTGATTCAGTGCCTTTTAAAAGAGTTTCTAATTTAAGAGCAGATAATAAAAGTCATCCTGGATTTGTTTATTCTGTCTTTGGTGGGATTTGTAGTCCAAGCTAGGTGCCCTGACATAAACATACTAAAATGAACAATAAAGAAAATGTAGTACTTTCTATTTGGCTTTTATTCTGCATCACTAGAGGGCAGTATTGACTGCAGAAAATGTAGAACAATTGGGATTTTTGTTTTGTTTTTTTCACTTCTGAACTATTTCCATTGTGTGTATGAGACATACGTTAGTTTTGGTTGTTGCTTTTTTAAGTGCGTCTAAAATGAGTCTTATTCTTATAAAAGATCCTGCATTATTAGCCTTGAGCTGTCTTCATCTATATAATATTTTGTGGTAAGATTTATTTGGTTTGCACTGAAAAACAGGAAGGAAGGAGTATGTCTGATTTTGATTAATGTAAGCCTGTTTTCTTAAATCAGAATTTTACCTTCATATTTTTTCTCATCTGTGATATATCCTTATTATCTCTAGTAAGAGATTTTTGTAAATGGATTTTGAAAGTGTTGGTCATTTTCAGTTTCATGAATTCATTCCTTGGGGAAGGAAATACTTCATTCATATTGTGAACACAGTATGGAGCCTTGTGAGTAACCCCCTGTTAACAGTATCTATGTTATCTCCTCTCCTTCCTTTATGGTGTTAGTTACAAGTAGCATGTTCTGATCTGAGATATACATATATAGCTAGCAGTGATCTACCTCCTTCAGGTAGGTGCCATCAACCTTACTGATCCAATATATGGACTGAGGTGACTGCAATGAAAGGCCAACAGCTATCAAAGTTAATTTTGGATAATTTTTTTGCCTGTCCTAGAGCATGGATCTGTGTGATGTGTGACCTCTGGATAGATGACTTATCCATACCAAATAATGAAATCTAGGCTCTGCTGGCAGTGAGAAAATGAAATATGGTAATTAGCTATAGATAGACGTTGGGTTAGCACTCATTTTCCAGTTTATTTCTCGCCTCTTTAACCACCCCCTATGCGTAGTGGTGTGAAATAAGAGCCGTCTTATTATGCTCACAGATTCTTCAGGTCAGGAATTCGGTCAGGGCACAGCAGGATGGCTTGTCTTTGCTCCATAATATCCAAGGCTTGAGCTTGGAAGACCCAAACGGCTGGGGAAGACTCAGATGGCTGGGGGCTGGGATCATCTGGAGGCTTCTTCCCTCCCATGTCACTTGGGCCCAAGTGTCTTGAATTCTGGGCTCAGCTGAGACTGTTGACCAGAGCACCTTCACATTCCCTCCCCGCGAGGCTGGGCTCCTTATTGCACGGTGACTGGGAATCCAGAGGGATGCTTCAGAGCAGGCATTTCCAAAGGATGTGCTGTAACCCCATGACCTTTTCTGATTTGTTGTTAACAAGCAGGTCACTAAGGCCAATCCAGATTGCAGGGCAGGGAAATCAGACACCGTCTCAAATGGGAAGTGGGTCCAAGAGTTTGTGGCCATTTTTACAACTTGCCACTACCAGCTTGTATACATTTTAAAAATTACTCTCTAAAACTTTTAATTAGTAGTGACAAGCTTCTTTTGGTTACATTATTTCTCTGCCAAAATAGAGGATAATAAAAATGAAACCAAAAGTAGAGATAAATTCCGTATCTCTTAAATCCAGCTACCCAGTCTTAATTAAATATGACCTGATTTCTTTTAGATTTGAGTGTGTAAGGTAATGTTTATTTTTATGGTATCACTGAATGCATCTTTTCATTGTCCTTGCAGAAGGAAAAAAGTGTGACTCAAGCAGCAGCCCTTTGACTATGCCTTAAAGTGATTTTTAAAAAGAGGTATCTGCAAGTAATTGCCTGAGTGTGATTTTATAATAGAAGTGGCCTCCCTGAGTGAAACTTAATCTCTTATGTTTGAGACATTGAATTTCATTCATTCCACAAACACTGAGTATCTCACTACGTGTTAGGCTCTGTGAATCACAATCCACAGGAAATGGGCTTACAAGCAGATCATTTGAGTGGAGTATATACTTGGGCAGTATTGGAGATGCAGAGGACAGTGGCTTGTTGTGTTAGTCTTGGAGAGTACTATAACAGAAAAATTGAAGTTTTACCATTTTACCAAATATTTGAGCGCTTGCTGTGTGCTAGGTGCTGTTTCTAGGCACTCGTGATTCATCAGGAATGAAACACCCCCAAATTTTTGCCTAATGGGGTTTCTAGTGAGGGAAACAGATTATGGAGTATGCTAGAAAATGGTGAGTACTCCGGAGAATAAGTAGAGACGTTTCGAGGGACCCAGTTTGCAATTTTAAATAAAGCTGTCATTGAGAAGACAAGATTTTAGCAAGAATTTGAGAGAAGTGAGGATTTGGCCCTGAAAAATCCAGGGATAAAAGGGCCTAGAGATGGAGGCAACTCTATGGTCAGGAAGACCAAGGAGTCCACTGTGGCCTGAGCATAATAGTACGGGTAGAGGGGTTGCAGGTGAGGTGTGGAGGATGGCAGTTCTGATAGGAGGCACACTTGTCTTGTTAAGGGTATTAGGGTGACACAAAAAAAACAGACACACTGTTTCTCTTGCCCTAGTATCAAATTCAGATTCTTGTCTAGTTTTGAGTTCAGATTCTTATGAATCTGTGGCCTCACTAATGTTGGCAGGCTTCTGGCATGCTTCAGGTAGGTTAAAAATGTTATTGGTCCTTCAGGGGCACCTGGGTGGCTCAGCTGGCTAAGTGTTTGACTTTGGCTCAGGTCATGATCTCATGGTTCATGGGTTCGAGCCCTGCATCGGGCTGTGTGCTGACAGCTTCGAGCCTGGAGCCTGCTTCGGATTCTGTCTCTCCCTCTCTCTCTGCCCCTCCCCTGCTTGTGCTCTGTCTCTATTCCTCTCTCTCTCTCAAGAATAAATAAGCATTAAAAAAATGTTATTGGTCCTTCAGATTTGATGAAAAGGTACAGAAAATAATGTACCCATGATCTAATATTTTAATGATGTTAATATTGCACCCCATTTATCCACTTTTTAAAAAGAAAAAGATAGCTAAAACTCCCTGTAATGTCCCTTCTTGTTTCTGTTTCTCTCACCCATTCCCCAGAGATAACCACTATTCTGAAATTATCTTTCTGTACTTTTATGCTTTTACTAGGACCATATCCATGTAATGTAAGTATCCCCCACTGTTTGAAGGCTCACTCTTTGCTGTGATGACTTCCAAAAATGCTTATGGAATTTAACTGTCTGAATCAAAACCCCCATCATGTGCACACCATCAAAGATGTTTTCACTTGTGCACAAGTCTGGGGAAGAGGCTGTGGAGTGTACTTCAGTTGTATTTCTCCTCTTTTCCTGATAGGACCCGGTCCCTTGTCCACTTGTGTTGTAAAATGTGTTGTGCAATATCTCTTACCTTCCTTATATTACTAGTGAAAATGTCCTGTGATATGCAGGAAAGCCTATGAAGGAAATAGGTGAGCACAAGAGGCCCACGGATGTCCCTGCATTTGAAGAAAACGTGGGAGTGCTCATGCTCCTGGAGACGAGTGAATGCCTAAGTAGAAATATAATAGACTCCATACTGGGCAGCATCACTGAATGATGCACGCTAGAGTACTTCAGTTGTTTGAGGGTTAAAATAGGTCATTGGTATTTTAGGTGCCTTCTATTTTATAGAAATTCTTGGTAGGCTGTTATGTAGATATTGAAGACTGTTTCAGTTTGGAGCTTTGGATGAGCCAGGAACATGTAATTTTTCTTATTTTTGAATGATGTAATATACAGACTCTGCTGCCTGAAAATTCACAGTGTGACACACTTAGGAACAGACTGGATTCCAGTAGTGAGGACTGTCTATGGTATTTTCTGTTTTTAAATGTTACATAAGTTGGTCATATGAGGGAAGTTTTTCTGCCATTTATTTTGTTTGCTTAATATTGTTTGCATTATTTCTGTTGAGTGTGAGGTTCTCATTCATTTGTTTTTGCCGTTACATGTTCCACGTAGTATTACCACAGCTTCTGTGTTCATCGCTCTATTGATGGACATTTAGGTTGTCAGCTCTTTTTCGCTGTTGTTACATGGTGCTGCAGCAACAGTGTGGCTGAGATTCTTTATCTTGCAGTGATATTGGTGGACATCCTCAGAGGCTGCCAAATTCTTTCAGAAGTCCTTACAGCAGTTCAGTCTTCCATTTTAGTATATGAAAGTTATCATGTGCCCATTTCCTTGTCTTTGTAGATACTGTCAGTCCCTTTAATCCTGCACATAGGATCTGTGTGAAACAGAATCTCATTGTAGTTTTTATTTCTATTTTCCTGATCATTTGTCCCATTGGCTGGGGGGTTTGTTTGTTTTTGTTATTTTCTTAAGTTAGGTTCACGCCCAGTGTGGAGCCCAAGGTGGGGCTTGAACTTACAACCCTGAGATCAAAACCTGAGCTGAGATCAAGAGTTACTGAGCCACCCAGGTGCCCCTGGCTGTTTGTTTAGATGGGTATTTTTAAGAGTTCTTCATGTATTCTAGATAATAATTCTTTACCACTATTGTCTCTCAACCTGAGAGACATGGCTTTTCTTTAAATCTTCTTAATAATTT